AAGAAAAAAAAAAAAAAAAAAAGGAAGAAAAAGAGTCGCGTTAAAGATGAATGACAGCGTGAAGAAGACGAGGGGAGGGAGGCGAGGGAGTCGATTGGAGGAAGAAAACGATCGGTTTGACGCGCCTCGGAGCGTGTGCACGAGGTAAATTTCGTGGTAAAATCCGTCGATCGAGCCTGTGTTCCGGAAAATGGATAAAAGGTTCTCCCCGAGATATAACACGCTAAGACCGAACTTTCGAGACCAAGTATGAAACCTTCTCTCTATTATAAAGGCCAGCCTTTTTCCACGGTTACAGCGAAAAAGCTCCTCTGTGCCGCGTCAGACCGGAAACATTGACGAGAAACATTTTTGGCAGGTTGCACATACACATAAAGGGGATACACCGACGCGCGATAGTTTCGTTCCAAGGCTGGGGCCCGGAGTGTGTAAAAATAAGGAACGATATCTTTCTGACGAACCGGTCAATTTCTGCGACTCGGAATTTTAACCCTTTCAACCCTCGGAAGTTTTCTTCATGCAATCTACTATCACCAATTTATTCACGAAGTAGCATCGTTTCAAATAAAATGACACAACAGTGGGAAAATAATCGTTCTGTTGAAATTCAGCATGAAATTTTGCCGATTATATCTTTCTGACATGGTTTAGGTTTATGGCACCTGTTGACGTATTTTGGAATAATCACGTATTAAAAATATATTTCATACTTCTTCTATTTTTTATTTCGACAGTGAAATACTCGTACGATAAGAAATTACGAAAAAATAAAGTTTCTTGAAAAAAAAGAGATTTCTATTTCAAGTCATTCCTCTTTAATAATTTCGTTCGCGAAAGTATCTCGGGCTAGATCAGATTCACGAAGAAACAACAGAAATAACAACCACGTTGTTCGTCAAAAAGGAAAAAAAAAAAAAAAAAAATTGGAAACACACAGCAGAAGTTTTATACTGTTTTTCTTAATGCTGCGTGTTGCGACGTTGCTCGTCGCAATGGCTCGATATTTACATTGAAATTGAAATTGAAATTTGAATTTAAATACGAGTTAAGTAATTTGAATTTAAATGATGTCCTCTCGATGCAAAGAAGGTGGTAATCGCGTCTAGTTATTTTCTCATCGGTGTGGACCCGCTTTGTTGGATCATTGAACGCGACGCGACAGTTTTTCTTTCCCTCGAAGTACCTGTTACTCGCTACTTACACGCGTGAGTAACTTCTACATACGTATACAACGAACAAGTGGATATAGCAGTTTTTGGTCAGCCATTGACGATTGAAAACGCGGCGCAACGTCGTAAGCGTTTAGATCCGTGGTTCCCAACTTTGTTCTTGGCCTAAATCTAAACCTAACCTAGACCTAAGCATCTATAAATAAAATCCTAATTAACCTAAACCCTCTCCCTTTTAGGGTTAAAATTTCGAGTCGCAGAAATTCTTATTATTCAAAAAGTGAATTTTCGACGTGGAGGAAGACTTAACCTCTTGCGCTGGCAACTGATTGCGGACCATAACGAGTGACCGAAACGTATACAGTAATTTGTCGCTTTTTTTTTTCGAACTCGTCGGTATATCACTGGATAGAAATTATTGAGAAGTAGTAAATTTATTATTTGTTTTGTCTGGGTTATATTTAAATATAACTTATATACTTAAAACTAAGAAAATAGTGCAATTTGGGAAAAATTCTCGACGTGCGTGGCACGTCATTCCAGCGCTACGTAAGAAGTTAACCTCTTGCGCTGGCAACTGATTGCGGACTATAACGAGAGACCGAACCGTATACAATAATTCGTCTTCTTTTTGAATTCATCAGGATATCACTGGATAGAAATTACTAAGAAGTAATAAACTTATCATTTCTTTCGCCTGGGTTACATTTATATATATACTTAAAACTGAGAAAATGTTGCAATTTGAGAGAAAAAATTCTCAACGTGCGTGGCACGTCATTCTAGCACAAGAGGTTAACCCTTTGCGCTGGCAACTGATTGCGGACCGTAACGAGTGACCGAAACGTATACAGTAATTTGTCGCTTTTTTTTCGAACTCGTCGGTATATCACTGGATAGAAATTATTGAGAAGTAATAAATTTATTATTTGTTTTGCCTGGGTTACATTTAAATATACGTAAAACTGAGAAAATGTTGCAATTTGGGAGAAAAAATTCTCGACGTGCGTGGCACGTCATTCCAGCGCAAGAGGTTAAAGGCCTACATTAACTTGGTCTAAACAAACTTCCGAGATAATGTCATCCACGAAAGAAAAGTAAGTAGAGAGTTAAATTTTCATTTAAAGAAATATAAAAAATTCACTGTTTAACAATTTTCATTCTCGAATTGCCCCGCCTCTAGTAAATCAAAGTCTGGTAGCGATAGATCGGTTATTATCATTCGAAAAGGACTGAAAATCCGCGAGCTTTGATAGACCGAGCTTCGGTAAACCGAAATAGCCAACCGGTTTACAGATTAGACAACAGTTTACAGATTACAGTAGGGGCAGATAGCTGGTCTAAGTTGAGAAATCGGCACTTGGTGGGTGAAACTGACTGATTGAGACCATCCTCGCGATTGAACGCAGACGCTTCGATGAAGTAAACGATGGATAACAACGTTCACCTTTGATTCAACGATCTCGTACGTGAGAAGGATATTTAACGGGCGATCGATCGGGTTGCCATCACGGAGCAAGATGCCGTCTGTGTTCTCACTGAATATCATTCTCTCTTTCTTTGGCTGTGTTTCAGGAAAAAATAGAGTATATATTTCTTGTGATTTTTACGGTCGAGTGCGTTATGAAGATCATCGCTTACGGCTTCGTGGCCCACCCCGGCGCTTATCTTCGAAACGGATGGAATATATTAGATTTCTCGATAGTAGTGATAGGGTGAGTATTTTTACTTGCGTTTCTTTTTATTTCAGTTTGCATGGTCGAGCAACGACCCGAGTTGTGATTTACGACACGGTTCTCGATGTTGTCCGTTAGTGGCATGTTTCCTGGACGAGTAACAGTCTATTTTAATTAAAGTCCAGTTGAGTGTGTGTATATGTTTAAAGGTCTATCATTGTACAGGGAGTTCCACAAATGGTGGTGACAAGCGACTAGGGGGTGATTCTACGTGAAAAGATGAATCGAAGAGAAAGAATAAGAGCTTCATTCTCAAGAAAATCTCTCTTCAAGTATGCCTGAATTTAGCTAAATAATATTTGGGATAATATTCTGCGTGCAGAAATAGGTGAAAAATCTAGAATATTCGTCCGTTTAAGGTTATGTCTGTCATTTTCGAGAAAATTGAAAATCATCTCAGCACTTCAAACTCGATTTTCTCGGGAACGAAGCATCTTGTAAGAAAATGTTACTCTACTCTTCACCGATTTTCACATGCAAAACAACCTTCCGTTAATTATTCTTTTCTGTCACGTCTAGAATTAACCAAGATGTACTTGATAAATATTCAAATGCAATTTCCTCGAAAACAAGACCTCGAACGGTTTCATTCTTCCTTCGACTCACTTTTTCACGTAGAATCGTCTCCTATTTATGAAACACTCTGTATAATGGCCTACCCTGTATAGTATATATATTTCATCGCTTCTCTCTACTGTCGTTTTCGATCTGTCTCTTTCGATTTACCAAAAATCATCAGTTCATTGTCAACGACGCGATCTCCTCCTGCAAGGAAGCAGAACTGCGTTTGCAATTGATTTCTACATCATGTTACAAGTTTATCGGCCCAAAGGGAGAACACGCGCAGCTCGTAATTTGGCTAGAGCCAACGAAGGAAATTTTACTGCACATAGATTTCTCGTGCAACTTTCTACCATCGTTGCTTCGACTTTCATCGCGTCCCCGTGATAAAAGTCGCATTCGTGTGCTTGGACGCGATCGCGTCGAATCGACACGCAATCCCCTTTTCTTCGATTCAATAACTTTTTCCTTACTTCGCGAAACGAGACAGTTCCTCCTGTTCTCCAAGACTGTTTCGTCTTGCCAGCCAAGACAGTTGCCTTGCCATACCAAGCATTCTTTCATCCTAACATTGTCCATTGTCGATAACCTGTTTACAAATTGTACAGGTCCATTCAAGTGAAACCTAACCTAAATACATATCTTTTCTGTGCAACAATACAAACAAAAAAGATCTTCCAGTTTACACGAATGGTATCGAAAGGTCAATAAGTAAATAATGGTAGAGAATATTCTTCTTCCAACGTCATTCTTTTCCCGAGTTTCCAAGATCACTGATGGTCTTTTCTTTTTTTTTTCTCATACAACTGTGTGTCTGCATCGTGTAACTCACATTCAGACGTGCAAAGAGCATGAGCTCTCGAAGTGACGTTGGTGCCCAAAGAATTTAAATTTTGGACTATATAGGGTGGGTCAAAAATCACTTTCTATTAAAATAAATTATTTTTTTATTAATTTGAGAACACTCTGGCGGTCAACATTTGTAAGGAATCATTTCACAAAACGTAATGATGAACAGAATCACGTTTGAACTTGAATTTAATTTAAAATTAATAAAATTAGTTTCTTCTTATATTTTGATGTTTTATCAAAAAAAAAAAAATAGGCGAGGAGAAGAAACTTTTGGCCCACCCTATATACATGCGACGCAGTAATCGAAGAAAAACGGCAAGCATGGACAGAAAGCTTGTGCCAGGATAAAAAAAGAATATTGAAAACCGATGTTATTTCAAATTATATCTATTTTTGCTGCAGTCCAAGGGTCTCGACCCTAGCAAATTGAACAAAATCTTACTTTAATTTAACCATAATTATATTTCATTTATATTACTAATATTAATAATTCATTTAAAATCAAAATTTAACATGCAATTTACATTAAGTATTATCAAAATTATTTTATTTTTATTTATATGATATAATAAAATTCTATATAATTTATATATAAATAAATATATAAAATATAACTTAGAACATAGGTACGTCTCTCATAATCAGTGACCGACCATACAAGTCCCAAACTCCATTGAATCTGTAGAAAAAAAAAAAGAAAAAGATATTCCCATCTTCAATGGTCCTCAGTTGAGCTTTAGTTCTAAAACTAAACGCTATCATGGTTTCGTTCGCAGAATGGTGAGCACGGTGTTGTCAGTACTTATGAAAGAAGGCTTCGATGTGAAAGCGTTAAGAGCTTTTCGGGTGCTACGACCTCTGAGGCTGGTTTCCGGCGTACCAAGTAAGAAATAAATACATAAATACATTTATCTCGTGCTGGCTTCGTCCGTTGTATCGTTTCTCGACACAATGTTGGCTGATCGGGCGGTGACGAATGCCTCTGTCGATTTGTGCAGGTTTGCAAGTGGTTTTGAACTCTATTTTGAGAGCGATGATACCCCTTCTCCATATCGCTCTGCTGGTTCTGTTCGTCATCATTATTTACGCTATTATCGGCCTCGAGTTGTTCTCTGGGAAGATGCATAAAACCTGCAGGCACAATATCACCGGTGAGTATCGTCCCTTTCGCGATATCCTAAAGTATCTCTGTAATAAATATCGAAATAATTCGTAAACTCGCAACATGCTTAATATGCATCATAGATAATGAAATTAATTAAATTCTACATTGTCAAACTATTCCTTTAACTAACTGAAATTAATTGAAATTTATCAGTGAAAATTTATTAGTTAATTGAAATTTATTAGTGAAAATTATCTCTCGTTGTATCGTAGGATCGTATTCCACGTAAAACTATGTATTAGAGGTACTCTAACGTGGTTTTCTTTAAATTTACTAATATAAGTAACGTGGTTTTCTTCAAATTTAATAGCAAAAAAAACTATGTATTAGGGGTACCCTATAAGTAACGTGGTTTTCTTCAAATTCAATAATTAAAAACTATGTATTAGGGACACTCTATGAGTAACGTGGTTTTTTCAAATTTAATAATAATAAACCATGTATTAGGGGTGCTCTATAAGCAACGTGGTTTTCTTCAAATTTAATAATAAAAAAACTATGCATTAGGGATACCCTATAAATAACGTGGTTTTCTTCAAATTTAATAATAAAAAAATTATGTATTAGGGGTACCCTATAAGTAACGTGGTTTTCTTCAAATTTAATAATAAAAAAACTATGTATTGGGAGTACCCTATAAGTAACGTGGTTTTCTTCAAATTCAATAATTAAAAACTATGTATTAGGGACACTCTATAAGTAACGTGGTTTTTTCAAATTTAATAATAAAAAACCATGTATTAGGGGTGCTCTATAAGCAACGTGGTTTTCTTCAAATTTAATAATAAAAAAACTATGTATTGGGGGTATCCTATAAGTAACGTGGTTTTCTTCAAAATTAATAATAAAAATACTATGTATTGGGGGTACCCTATAAGTAACGTGGTTTTTTCAAATTTAATAATAAAAAAACTATGTATTGGGGGTACCCTATAAGTAACGTGGTTTTCTTCAAATTTAATAATAAAAAAAACTATGTATTGGGGGTATCCTATAAGTAACGTGGTTTTCTTCAAAATTAATAATAAAAAAAACTATGTATTGGGGGTATCCTATAAGTAACGTGGTTTTCTTCAAAATTAATAATAAAAATACTATGTATTGGGGGTACCCTATAAGTAACGTGGTTTTCTTCAAAATTAATAATAAAAATACTATGTATTGGGAGTACCCTATAAGTAACGTGGTTTTCTTAAAAATTAATAATAAAAATACTATGTATTGAGGGTACCCTATAAGTAACGTGGTTTTCTTCAAAATTAATAATAAAAATACTATGTATTAGAGGTACCCTATAAGTAAATTTAATAAACGTTGCCATTTTGTGACAATAATTTATAACATAACTTATATCCCAGTTAAATGTAATTTACATTTGACGTGTTTGTCGTTAAGTTACAGATTAGAACTGTATTAACTTTTAATTAAAACAAAACTTTCGTACAGTATCAGAGAACGACGTTACTTATGGTCACTCGTAGTATATTGCAACGTAGTATATTATACGGAAGGAAATGATAGACCCCATAATTGCGCTGCGTCGCATTGTTGGACGATACGAGATAGAAAAGTATGCGAGACGACAAGCGGACAGCGATGAGATAATCCTTTGGACGGGGACTCGTGCCTGTAAAGAATTTCTCAAGAGATGAATTATGGTCGCGACGCTAGTTGGCAAAGTGGCTGCCGCGGGGCGGGAATTTCCCCCGCAAGTCTTAACCCCGAAACACAGTTCGCACCTGCGCGGCCGCGACACTATTTTAGATATGATTCAGCCGGCGATTCGGCGAAACGGCTAACAACTAATCTAATTATTCTTGCGCGATGTCTGCGCGTGGCCACGTTGGTCGTTTGTCTCACCGACTCGCGTCGCTCGCATTCGAGACAATGAAACCGAGGCAACTCGTTTCGAAATTTCGACTTTCGAGCGAGGGGCGAGATGAAACATGAGACAGACCAGAAAATGGCTGTTGAAATTGACAGACACGATCATGGACGATCCGAAACCCTGCGGGCCCGGTGGTTTCCAGTGCGACAACGTCGGACCCGACTACTACTGCAGCAAACGGTTCTGGGAGGGGCCGAACTGGGGCATCACGAACTTCGACAATTTCGGCTTGGCCATGTTAACCGTCTTCCAGTGTGTGACGCTCGAGGGCTGGACCGACGTGCTCTACAGCGTAAGATCAATCTCTCTGTTCCTCTCTCAACCGGAAGCGATCGATCTTCGATCTCATCCTATTCCTCTTCCCTCTTTCTTGTTTGGCTCTTTCAGATCGAAGACGCGATGGGAAGCTCGTGGCAGTGGATTTATTTCATCTCCATGGTCATACTCGGCGCTTTCTTCGTGATGAATCTGATTCTCGGTGTACTGTCCGGGTGAGTATCCGAAAGCTACGAAAATCAGATCTGTGATATATAGTTGGCTGACGTGGATGGCTAATTTGCTCGCGAAGAATGTAATAAAACAACAGAAAGTAAATCGAAAGAAATGGAGAGCGACGCGCGAGATCGCGGTTTTTTAATTACGTACGTACCGATATAATTGTTTATTGTTTGTTGCTTGTTTATCGCTTCTTTGCACTACCGTGTATCGATTCCAAGACGTTGCGTCTTGCAACGTCTCTCCTAAGAAGCGTCTAAATATAAACGCGCGTCCCTTTTGTCGTTTACGACTGCCACCATAGCAGCGGCTCTTCTCGACGATCGGACGATAAAGGCCGCGTCTTATCAAAGTACACGAGGCGAATTCGTTTCGCAGTGCCGTCGTTGTTTCTCCCTTTAAACGATATGACGCTCGTTTTCTCGAACGCTTCGAGTAGGAAAGGTAGAGTGGACAATCCGGAAGATCGTTGGCTCGCACAGTGGGCCGGATCGAGAATTCACGCGACATTTTCGAATGAATTTTGACTCCTAAAAGATGTCGCAATGAAATTTGACATAAATATTTGTAAAAAAAATATTCCTTTACAGTGATATATTCATCGTGTTTAATCACTGTTTTGTTATTAACTTTACAAGCAAGTTTTCTACACAATTGTTTGTACATTTTATTTAATATATCTTTTAATCAATTTAGGTCATATATTGATAAAACTTTTAATTTCAGTTATTCTATTAAACTAATGAACACTTATTTTATATTATGTACTATAATTGCCGATAGTTTCTCACCCTTTTATGGTGATGGAAAAAATTCAGGATGAAAAATTAAACACAGTTGTTATTTGACGTTTCAAAGAGGAGCAACAAATTATTCGATGAGAATAATTGAGATGTTTAAAATGTTAAATAATAAAATGTGTTAATTAATTAAATGTTCGAATGAGATGTTTACAATTCTTCTTAGTGTGTTTGTTTCAACTAAAATTATTCTTACTCACATCTCATTGATTTTTTTTCATTCTCGAGGCTTTCGGTGGACGGACTTAGAGATCAATGTATATTAAAAAGAAATATGAAACTGAGAAAGTTGATTTTTTCCTTCTTCTAAAATGTCGCGTGAATACTCCGTGACAGGGGGAGAGGCGAATCCTAGTCTCCCCCTGGTTGCTTTGCACCAGAAACTTGAAACTCTTCCTCTTGCCCCGTTTGCGAGACGAAACTCTCCATTTCCATTTCATTCGCGAACGTTTCAATTACGCTGGCGGGGGGAGGGTGATCGATGTCCTCTAATCACGCCGTCTGACGCGTTGCAACTGTGTACCTTTGCTCGGCGCAGCGAATTCTCCAAGGAGAGGGAGAAGGCAAAGGCGAGGGGTGATTTCCACAAACTGCGGGAGAAGCAGCAGATCGAGGACGATCTCAGGGGTTATCTGGACTGGATCACGCAGGCCGAGGACATCGAGCCGGAAACCGACGAGCCGAAAATGCAGGACGGAAAGAGTACGTGTTTCACCGATCATAGGATTTTTTCTTGAACTCTTGATCGTCATTACCTCCAAATAGTAATCTCGAATAATCTCGAATAATGCAAGTTACGTAGATCGAAAGATTAGTCTCGTTGTCAGTATAATCATTAACGCTCGACTTATTATAATCCCTTTGTTCCGAGTCGTTACACGTTTGTTTCACATTTCGTCATTTTAATACGTTACAATCGATAAAAGCTGTTACATTTAGTCCATCAATCTCTCGTGCACGTAACGACAATAACAAAATGATCTTTTGAACAGCGAAACAACAGAGCGAGATGGAGAGCACGGATCAGTTAGAGGGCGACGAGGAAGGGGTTCAACAGGAATCCGTCTGGAGGAGGAAAAAGCTGGATTTCGACAGGTAAGAAACGTGTACTTGCGTGTACTTTGTTTCTTTATCGTGGCTTTGCTACGAGCGTGGCCAGCAGATAAAAGAGGAAAAAGCGAGCTTCGCTATCAGTTTGTCACATAGTTGTACCTAGCTGTCGTTTACCTTTGACCGTGGTGAAAATTTGCAATGGAAATCCTTCGCAGAGCGAACAGGAGAATGAGGAGAGCTTGCAGAAAAGCCGTCAAGTCGCAGGTTTTCTACTGGCTAATTATAGTATTGGTTTTCCTGAACACCGGCGTTCTGGCGACCGAGCACTACAATCAGCCTCACTGGTTGGACGACTTTCAAGGTACGAGGATCAATTGATCGGCCTTGGACAACTTACGATTAAAAGTATCTTTGTTGTTTCTCGATTGTACACAGAGATCACGAACATGTTCTTCATCGCGCTGTTTTCCATGGAGATGTTGCTGAAAATGTACAGCTTGGGATTTCAAGTAAGTCTCGCGCGCACACAGCTCGACGAAAGCTTCTCGTTTTCGTCTCTGTAGATAAGAAGAAAAAAAAGAAATACTCGTCACTGTTCAGGGTTACTTCGTCTCGCTGTTCAATCGTTTCGATTGTTTCGTCGTGATCGGCTCAATCACCGAGATGATCCTGACGAATACACACGTGATGCCACCGCTCGGCGTTTCCGTTCTCCGTTGCGTCCGGTTGCTCAGGGTATTTAAAGTGACAAAGTAAGTCTCCATCTTCAAAGATCCATCTTCCTTCGAATTGCATTCAGATTGCGGATTTTTACGCATGATCTTTGTCGCGATAAAAATATCCGCAATTCGATGATGATGATGATGATGATGATGATTAGAACCTTAGAATATAATACTTGTAAGAGAAAGTAAGTAAAAAAAAAAAAAACCTCTGGATAAGGAGCTGACCGCTGAATCGATGAACATTAAATTTTTGTAGATATTGGAGGTCGTTGTCGAATTTGGTGGCTTCCCTTTTAAACTCGATACAATCGATCGCGTCTTTGTTGCTTCTGCTCTTCCTTTTTATCGTGATCTTTGCCCTCCTAGGCATGCAGGTATGATTCATTCATCTCGATATCAACTATCGTCGATGAATATCATCGAGTCGTCTAGCTTCCAGCCTCTACTTTGTTTTTTTTTTATTCCCTCTCTTCTCGCAGGTATTCGGCGGAAAATTCAATTTCAGCGATTTGCAGAACAAGCCTCGTCACAATTTCGACAGTTTCTGGCAGAGTTTGCTGACCGTCTTTCAGGTGAGCCCCCATCGTCTCACGTTCGAACGCGCCCGTCGAAACCTAAAATCGATTATAGCCTCGTTATCGTTCAATTTATAGATATTAACCGGCGAAGATTGGAACGCCGTTATGTACGATGGAATTAGAGCCTACGGCGGTGTTGCAAGCTTTGGCATGCTCGCCTGCTTCTACTTCATCATTCTCTTTATATGCGGTAACTGTATCCTTTTTTTTCCTACAAAAAAATGGACGAAAAATCAGCATACCTAACCTTGTCATTTCGATCGCGTGTAATTTTGTCCGTCGTGAAAACATACATATCGCTATCGCATACCTAACAGGTGTCAGTGACGTTGAGTGTCAGTAATTCTTTTCTGTTCTTGTTAAATGTTCCTTGACGAGGAAACCTGCAGATATCCTACTCAACGTCTTCTTGGCCATCGCTGTCGATAACCTTGCCGACGCCGAGTCGTTAACTGCCATCGAGAAGGAAGCCGAGGAAGAGGTGAGTCCCTCAATTTCCGATACTTGTACAATTTACAATTCCGACAATCCGCCATATTCGGTCACGAGGTGAGGAACGCTGTTTAATCAATGATGGAATTGTTAGTTTCGATGAAAATGGATGTAAAGAAAGAATACAAGTTGCAATAATTCTTTTGCAATTAATCGTCGCACTATCGTAGACGAAATATCTCATCACAACTATATACCATCATGCACAAAACAAACGGTTAATATAATGAGAAACAGTTTGGTAAACGAACGTCAGCCATTCTGTCTTAACAAATTCGCGACCGATAACGTAGTCCTACGTCATTTCAAATTCTTTGGTTGAATCTATCGGTAACGTAGTTGTACTTCATTTTAAATTTGTTAATTGAATACAATGGTAACGTAGCCTTATATCATTCCAAAGTCTCTGGTTGAATCTACCGGTAACGTAGTTGTACGTCAGTTTAAATTGTTAATTGAATAAAACGGCAACGTAGTGCTACGTCATTTCAAATTCTCTGGTTGAATCTACCGGTAACGTAGTTGTACGTCATTTTAAATTTGTTGACTGAATACAACGGTAACGTAGTCATTTCAAAATTGGCGATCCTGCAGTAAAATACAATTTTCACCTGTCTAATAAATGAATATGAACGTATATAAGTGAATAATAATAAAATAATGAATAAAGTGAACAATAATACTGCAATAATAACAATAATGTCGTTGAGCGAACGTAATAACACTTGTACGGTAAGGAGTTGATTATTCACTTGTATATCACTTGTTTTTGATCTAAATTACCAGTGTCTTTGTTTCAAATTTTCATCAGTTTATGTATATTACGTACGTAGAAATAACCTCTGTGGTAAGAAATTGGTTATCTATCAGCCATTTTTATCAAAATTATCAATACCTTCGTTACAAATATTTATTAGGTTAGGTTAGGTAGTAAAAAACTTTCACTCTGAAGACGAAGGAGATAATTTGTGAATAATGTTTTCGCGGATGTATTTTCTGATTACGAATTGGAATCGTTCTAACAGTGATGACAGTGATGCTCCCTGTACAATTTAAACGAAGGAACATTAAAATAATAAGAAGCGACGAAGAATTCTGCCGATAATAGAGATGAACATCTCGCACGAGTAACGAGTCGCGATTTGTTTGAAAAAAAGCCAGCAACATCGGCGCACGTTCGCTTATGTGCACAAGTAGTCGCAAGGGCGAAGAAAATTATGAATGTCAGCCGTTTTATCGCCGTAGAAGAGCAACGAGCAGGATAGCCCAATGCTCGTTTGCGGCGTCAACATGGACGTCTCGGCGCCAACGTTGACGCCGCGCCTTGCCGCGTGCAAGCGCGTCGTTCCACCAACATTTTATTGCCTGTTACGCGCCGTAAAGCGTGTACCTTGCGAATATTTGACGCGCCGTAATTACGACCGTGTGTATCTAGGCCGAGCATTAATTTCCCGATACCTCTGGCCGCAACAGTATTTTTAATTACGGAAAATTTACTTGAGGTCCATTGAATATTATGTTAGTACGCTTTAAACGACTTAAACGATTTCACTGAAAGTCGAAAAACCATTTAATCACTTTCTCAGCACAGCACCTTATTTTCTATAAAACATTTTGAAATGTATATTTTTTGATATTACAGAGATGTATGTTGCTCATTGGACTATGTTGTTTGTATGTTTGTTAAAAGAAGTCTGAAAATAGGAGAGACTATTTTACACCTCGTCCAATGCATCTTTCAAGAAAAGTTTTATTTGAATGTTCAGTTCTGTTTAAATCCACTGGACTTATTTTTGTGGGGATACTTTAAAAATATTGTTTACTCTTCGATTCAATCAATGACGTAAACGAATTACAAAATGTTTGGTGAAAAGGTCAGAACACATCCGGGAATCTTTGGAGGAGTACGTAATTATTTAATACAAAGGTATCAAGCGTGCATAGAAATGCAAGGAGGATACGTAGAGAACCTCCTGTAATCAAAAGAAGAAATTATAAGGTGAACTACTTACATAGTTTTTCGACCTTTAGCATTTTTTTTCATGTTTCGGCGAGTACTATCTACCGCAAAAATTATGAATCCTCTTTTCTATTCAAGCCTGTATATCAGAAAAGCAACAAATCTCAATCAGAAAAATAATATTCGGATTGTGCGTGATTGGTTCGTTGAACACTTTTGATCGTTTTGTTACATTATCAAAGGATCATTTTACTTCATCCGTTTAATCCGATACACGGTATAGGTAAGACATTATTTAATTATCTAATTAGAAATATATTATAAAAAAGACAATGATCCGCGATTCGTTTGTCGTCGAGTTCACAATTGCGAGAGTTTATTTCAACACCGTTGGAAAATAAGACGCGGTCAAATTTTTTTCTGCCGTCTTGGCATACAATTGACGAAACGTAGATATTTTTACCGAGCAGATACGGATCTTTGGTCAATCGTTTTACCGAGAGCTGAAATCCGATCCAACGGACAAAAGGACATTTCCGCGCAACTTTGAAAGGAGCCTCGTCCACTTTGAGGTATTACAGGGGCAGGTCACTGTACAAATATTTTTTAACATCTACGAGAGTTATTAGTCACGTTGGATCAATAAGCAAGTAAAACGTCGTTAAATCGTCGGGGGACTGTATCATCGCCTTTAATTTGAACGCTTCGTTGCTCCAACTGTTGCTACAAACTCTCTCTACGTGCAGTATGCCTATATACGTAGGTACATATCGCGTACTTACAAAGGACGCACGCAAAATCGAGGTCATCGCAATCGAATACCGATACTCCGAAATTAAAACCATTATCTTGAAACATTCGCTCTATTATTGCTAGTTTTCTGTTCATCTTTGTCCCTCCATCTTCTTCCCCTCTCCTAAAACGTTTCACAAACGAGGCTCTATACTCTGTGCTCTGTAGTATAGTATTGTGTGTAGTATAAATGCGCGAGGAGTAACTCGGACGTAAAAGCCACCACGGACGTAAGAGCACGGGGAAACACAGAGCTGTCGTTGTCGTTGTCAACCTCGCCGTCGTTTGCCGCTGAGCGTCGTGTTAAAAGTTCAATCGTTCGTGATTTTTCGATAAGCTAATGAAAAGTCGATAGCTCGAATACTCGAGTATTAACCCGAGGACGGAGGGTTCATGCCGCTTCGATGCTCCGTGAAAATTCGACGAGATCCACTCACAGGACGACAGTTTCTCTCATTTTGAAGAGGAACAGCGAGTCAACGTCTCTTAATTTACGGTTATTAATGAACCGTCTTGCTGTTAATCACTTGCGCTGGCAACCGATTGCGAACCATAACGAGTGACCGAACCGTATACAATAATTCGTCGCTTTCTTTTCGAACTCGCCGGTATGATATCACTGGATAGAAATTATTGAGAAGTAGTAAATTTATTATTCGTTTTGCCTGGGTTATATTTAAATATACTTAAAACTAAGAAAATAGTGCAATTTGGGAAAAATTCTCGACATGCGTGGCACGCTCATTCCAGCGCTACGTAAGAGGTTAACTCCTTGCGTTGGCAACTGATTGCAGACCATAACGAGAGACCCAAACCGTATATACAATAATTCGTCGCTTTCTTTTTGAACTCGGCAGTATGATATCATTGGAAATTATTGAGAAGTAATAAATTTATTATTTGTTTTGCCTGGGTTATACTTAAATATACTTTAGTCTACAGAAATATTGCAATTTTGGGGCAAAAAATTCTCAACGTGCGTGGCACGTCATTCCAGTGCAAGAGGTTAACTTGCGCTTCCTTATTCTTTTGAACTCGTCGGTACGATATCTCTGGATAGAAATGATTGAGAAGTAAAATTTATCATTTGCTTTTTGTCTGGGTTATACGGGTTAAATGTACTTAAAATTGAGAAAAGATTGCAATTCTGGGACAAAAAAATTTTCAACGTGCGTGACACGTCATTCCAGCGCAAGAGGGTTAAATAAATGTCAGGTTTTGAGTAAATGGCAAAGTTTTCCTCCGATAGATAGAAGTTTGAAGGTTGAATCCTTTGACGGATTTCTTTCAGGCAGAGAAAAACAAATCTCATAGTGCCTCGCCGACTAGGGACGAGGTTAGCGGGGAGCAAGGTGACGACGGTGGCGAAGGGACTGGTGCGGAGGACGAAGGCGGTGGAACCGACCTCGAGCATGATCCGAACGAAACGATGGAGGATTATGAGGCTGCCGTGGACACGGAAACGTGAGTTATTCTCTTTCGTCTCGTAGCGATTTTTTTTTTCATGCTTTCGAGATTTCAAGTGTAAAATTATAATCCATATATTGCGAATTCAGGTCGGAGAAAAGCGATGACATGAACACTCACGCCAAGGTACGATTGAACATAGAGTCCGACGAGGAAGTCGAGGAAGAAGAGGAAGTCGAACACAACGAGATGCACGGTATCTACACGGACTTTTATTCGGGTCTTGGAATTATCTAAATCATGCGTGTCCAACCAGCATTGCGTCCCTTAAACCAAAATTAAAATAATTGAATGTGAATTTTACTACTTGAATAATTTTAATCGTGAACATTCATGATTTTCTTATATTAGTACTTCTTATATTTGCGAACAGATTTTTTCCCCACACAAAGAAAAAATAAAATAGGAACAAAAATTTTGACGACGAGCATCTTGAAAATACTCTTCGTATTTTCTGCCATTATCTGTATGTATCGAACCAGACATTGATGACTAGTCTATCTAAAAAACAAGCTTAGTTTTCTCATTAAAAATTTTCATATTTTTCTTTTTAATTCATGTAAATATGTATCGCTCCACTATAAAAGTTGTTTTAGTATTCTCACGAATAATATCAGTGATAAAAGAAACATGTAAACTACGTGCGATTCTCAACAAATTTTTCTTGGCCAGAAGATCTAAAAAGTTGGACACTCATGATTCAAGTTGTCCACGCTATTCAATCACTAAATTTTTATTTTACTTTATCTAATTCTATATCTATCTATAAATGAAGTGTATATTGTTCGAGTGTAATATTATTAATGATCTAAAAAGAAACAAGAAGTTCTATTGCCCAAGTATTGAAATGAATATAACAGGGGTAGTTTTTATACAACTCGTCGTCATGAAATTGTCATTCCGAGCAAAAGTTGTTCGCGTCTTTGAGCACAAATGTTTATAAAACAAAAATATTTATTCAGATGACGGTACGGACCAGGGAGTGTCGGCTAGACCACGGAGAATGTCCGAGTTCAATATGGCCACGAAAAGACAACCGATTCCAGCTGGTTCGGCTTTCTTCATTTTCTCACAAACGAACAGGTAAACGCACACGCCACGTTCTTCCCCCAACAAGAACCTTCCTCTTCTAACGAGACCTTTTCTAACGATTTCTATTTATTACGTCTTTCAGGATTCGAGTGTTTTGTCACTGGCTATGCAATCACAGCTACTTTGGCAACGTGATCCTCGTCTGTATCATGATATCTTCGGCCATGTTAGCGGCCGAGGATCCTCTACGCGCGTCTTCTTCTAGGAATCAGGTAAGGCGTCAGATAAAATAAATCGAGCCGACAAACCCCGTCCCGATAATTACATAATACATTCTCTCGTTCGTTCGTTGTAGATTTTACAGAATTTTGACTATTTTTTCACCACGGTATTTACGATCGAGATCTGTTTGAAGATGATCTCTTACGGTTTTATCATTCACGACGGTGCGTTCTGCCGGTCGGCGTTCAATTTGCTCGACCTTTTGGTCGTCTGCTCCTCTCTCATCTCTATGTCTTTCAGGTAAGGGCTCTCGAACTCGTTTTCTTTCCCCCCGGTGAGATTATTTCGGCAGCACCGAGCAAACAAATCGCAAACACTCACACTTGCCTCACTGCATTGAGAAGACGAGTCTTGTTGTCTCAGACAAAAGTCTCACACAAAACCACAGACATTATTATATTATTGTACAGGATAGGCAAACGAAAGTTTCTTCCCACTTATTTTTTTTTTTTCTTTCTTTTTAACAAATCATCAAAATATAAGAAAAAACTAGTTTTATTAATTTTAGTGGGATTTATTTTAGTAGGAAGTGATTTCTGGCCCACCCATTTTGTATATTTATGGTACAGCAAAAGTAACTTTGCTCATTGACTGCTCGATACTGCCGAACTTTCTGAAACTGCGAAGAGAAAACATCTGTTTCGTCGTTTCTATTTCTATTTCTATTTCTATTTCTATTTCTATTTCTATTTCTATTTCTGTTGCTGTCTCTGTTTCAGTTCCGGCGCGTTTTCAGTGGTGAAAGTGCTGCGTGTATTGCGTGTGTTGAGACCTCTGCGCGCCATCAATCGTGCCAAGGGATTAAAGGTATTTCTCTTTGCTCGTTATCCGCCAACAGTTAACCTACAATTTCCCAAATCGGTCCCGGATAATATACCGGAACCTTGTACGTGTCCCGAAGCAGACGTACAAGCAACATTCGATACTATAACGTAACATTCAGTCGCGATTTTAGACCGAGTCGCGTGAACATTCCAGCAATCTCGTTGTTCACTGTTTTTTTTTTCTTTTTTTTTTCTCTTTCTCAAAGCTGGCAGAACCGATTCGTTCGAATCTCGGCTAGTATTTGGACTATTCGCGATTACTTTTGAAAATCGATTTCGGCAATCGATACTACGTACCCAAGTGAAATCGAATCTTCCGTATCGCAGAGGAAACATTTTCGCAAACGTTACTCGTAAATTTCATCGTCGAATCAAGTGATGTACCACGTGTTGTACCGATCATATATTCGCGTTTTTGCCTTTGCGTCCGACTTTGTTTCCTGTTGCGACTCGGACAGAGAGAGAGTGGTAGCAAACCGGGGGGCAAAAAAAAAAAAAAAAAAAAAAAAACCAGCAACGCAAACAGACTCTAACGACTCTAATTCAAAAGAAACGGCTACGAGACTGCGGGGCGAGGCAAACTCCTCCGTTCAACTTTCCACCCCGAACTTTCCTACAGCTGCAATAGCTCTGGCTGTTAGTAAAAGGAAGGACGGGTGACTCACCTCGCTGCGAGCTAGGCTGTAAATCGAGCTGGCGCTCTCGAAGGAGCTGCCCTCCGCGGCAGTGGCTGTCGCCGAGGCCGAGGCCGAGGCGGCGGCGCTCGAGGTTTGCGGGGGCCTCGACCAGGAACTGGTCGTTGCGGAGGTGCCCGTTGTGGTCCCGGTCTCGGTGGAGGTGTTGGCAGTGACATAATCCTCGGTGGTCGAGGTCTCCGATAGATCTGTGTTGGTGCGACCGCCGGAGTCCGTTCTGGCGAGGCTCAGCCCGAACTCGCTCGACGACTGCGACTGCGGCTGCGACAACGGCGGCCCTGGACTCGGACGACGAAATCCGCTTCTCGGCCGGCCGTTCAACGGCGTCATCGCCGATTCGACGCTGAGAAGTAATTGCCTATTAAAAAATCGCTTCGGATTTTACACGGGGTGTCTCCAGCACGGGCCGACGTTCGATGGGGGAGGTGATCGAACGATGAGGTGCTGCTTGGGTGATGCTTGTGCTCTTACTTCGCTCTGGGGTACAATGCTCTGTTCGGCTCTTGTTTTGTATAAATAGGTATTGCATGTGTAGGCAATTTTGTAAATATTTATATAGGTATTGTTAACAAGTAAATATGTATGTAGGTATTGTTAATATGTAAATATGCATGTAGGTATCGTTAATATGCAAATATGTATGTAGATATTGTTAATATGTAAATATTAATATGTAGGTATTGTTAATGTGTAAATATGTATGTAGGTATCGTTAATATGCAAATATGTATGTAGATATTGTTAATATGTAAATATTAATATGTAGGTATTGTTAATATGTAAATATGCATGTAGGTATTGTTAATATGTAAATATGCATGTAGGTATTGTTAATATGTAAATATGTACGTATGTAGATATTGTTAATATGTAAATATGTATGTAGGTATCGTTAATATGTAAATATGTATGTAGGTATTGTTAATATGTAAATATGCATGTGGGTATTGTTAATATGTAAATATGTATGTAGGTATTGTTAATATGTAAATATGTATGTAGATATTGTTAATATGTAAATATGTATGTTAATATGTAAATATGTATTGTTAATATGTAAATATGTATGTAGGTATTGTTAATATGTAAATATGTATGTAGGTATTGTATTGTAAAGATGTAAATATATATATAGGTATTGTATTGTAAAGATGTAAATATGTATATAGGTATTGTATTGTAAAGATGTAAATATGTATATAGGTATTGTATTGTACAGATGTAAATATGTATATAGGTATTGCATTGTACAGATGTAAATACGTACATAGGTATTGTATTGTATAAATAGGTAGTTTTGTTCTATATTAACACACACTGTTGTTATAGGTATTGTTTTATATTAACACATTGTTGATATAGGCATTGTATTGTAAATATATAAATATGTACACAGGTATTCTATAAATAGGTATAAATAGGTATAAATAGGTAATTTAGTTTTATACTGTCGATGACGAGTTAATTCGTGTTTTCACTTGCGTTGGCTATTTTAATTTTCGACACTCGGAATAATGTATTATCTTGTATTAATAATGTATTATTAATTCTGTAAGATATTGTGACATCTTTCATCGTCTCCACTTTGTTATAAATTTTCTAAAATACTTATAAAAGAGTTCCTTACACTGATTCACTTATTAGGCTTTCAGGACAACTAAACTTCAGGACCACGTTTCAGAGAAAATAGTCACTAGTATAAAAAGAATCCAACTAAAACGTGCAGAGTATATTCTTCAAAAAGAAACCAGATATATTTGCAAAACCTGTTGTGTACCATTGCACATAAGTGATTGCTATAGTTTATCAGACAAAAAAAAAATTACTGAAGTATATATGTATGAAATATAATATTAATAAGAGATATAATACAAAATTTTATTTAAATTCATTCTGTATAAACTGAAGTTTATTTAGATTGCTTCACGTTCATACTCAAAAACCACTAAATACTAAATACTCAAAAACTAAAAATAGTAAAAAAAAAAAATAATGACAGCTTCTATGTAAAATTATCAACAATGTGTTAATAGGTACAGAATGTTAATTTCAAGTCTAAATTATCTCGGCTCAAAGTCACGGTGTTACAAGTCGAATTCTCCTTAACGTTACCTACAATACCATACTATAAAAAATGGTTATTAACATGGCCGACAAAATACAGTAACCTTGAAAAGAACTGTCAAAATGGCTTTTTTTTTTTTACATCAACAGCAACCGAAATGATTTAGATGTTGGACTATTGTATATTACGCGCGATCGCAGATGATTATTATATTTTATCGCACTGAATATTGATAGTATAATAAACGCACTGAATATTGATAGTATAATAAACTGCAGAATGATCTTTGTTCTCATATTTTTAAATTGCTTCAGATAATTAACTCTTACTGAATCAGTGACGAAATTTCAAAATGTTTCACGTAATAAATAAATAAAAAAATAAATAAATATATATATACATAAATAATATATATATTAAAATACATATATTCATAAACAATATATTATACATTATATATTAAAACAATATATTATATATATTAACAATATATTGTTAATATATTGTTATATATGTTATTGTTATGTATATATATATATTAAAATACATATATATATATGTGTGTGTGTGTGTGTGTATTTTAATATATATTATATATTATATATTAAAACAACATATGTATTTATATATTATACAGTATTATTATTATATATTAATATATGTATTTTAATACATAATATAATATATATATATGTATTTAATATATATTATATATTAAAACAATATATTATATATTAAAATACATATATATTAAACATATAAAAATAAAAAATAAAAAATAAATATATATATTAAATAAAAATATAATAAATATTTTTATAAATTTTTATAAATAATAAATTAAATAAATATATAATAAATATATATTAAAATACATATATATTCATAAGCAATCCTTACATGTCCTTAATTAATTCAATAATAAAATACTTTCACGAGCAGTTATACAGTACTAATTGTGATGAGCAATTCAGAAAATCATTCGTACATCATTTGTACATGATCCACGATGCAGAGAAAAACGACACCTTACCTTGGCGTTAGAGGTTGAATGGGTGTCGCTGGCTCGAGACGTATCCTCGGACTCGACGGACGTGACTCCATCGACTCCTCGATGTCCAACGCTTCGGTGTCCATCGAGGAACGTTGCTGATGCTGGAGAAGCAGGAGGTGCCTTCTCCTCGAGGACGGTGTCAAAAGAGCCAACGAGTCGGCCTGCAGAACCGTCGCCTGCGACTCGTTCCAAATTCCGTCGCTGTGGTCCCTCGTGACGTCGTTCGTTAACGAATCGCTCGATGCGAACGGGGACGTGATCATGCCGGTGATCCCGGGGCTGAAAAGTAACGGGCAAATTTGCCCGGCTTGCCGTAACGGCCGCGTCGGCGACTCGTAGTCCTTCGGGCTTTGTAAAATCCTTCGCGGCGCTATAATTTTATACGAAATCAATTAGCTGGTTACCGATGCAAAGGGAATGGAAATTTTAACTTCGGCTGCATTTAAACGTTATTATCGATCTCGTGCATTAGCGCGGGAGCATGTTACGTCAAAATTTTATAGCCAGTTTGTATATTCCGGACAGATTGTATATATTTGTATGTTATTGTATTATTATGTATGTTGTATGTATTATTGTATTGTTGTACTATTGTGTATATTGTATGCATTGTTGTATTATTGTGCTATTGTGTATATTGTATATGTATATTGTACTGTATTGTATTGTATTGTACATATTGTATTAAATTTCTGTATTACTTATATTATTTATATATATAAAATAATACAGAAATTTAATATATGTGAAAAATTTAATATAAGTATATATATGTATACATGTTATTATAAAATATATTATTATATATTCTATTTAAAATATAATATGTTATTATATTTTGTTTATTATATATTATATTATATATATATTATATTTTGTTTATTATATATTATATATTATATATTCTATTTAAAATATAATATGTTAATATATTTTAAATATAATAACATATTTGTAAAATATGTTATTATATTTGAAATAAAATGTCATTATATATTCTATTTAAAATATACAAGATTATGAATTAATTGATGTAACTTGTTTACCATCTAAATTTTTTTTAAACTTCGTCGTGACTTGGGCTCGCTTTCTTATTGTATAAATTGAAGTATGAATCCTCAACTACCAGAAACGACCAATTTGTAATTTTGTAAATTTATAACGATGAGTTTTTAGAATAATTGTTTGTCTGACGTGAATTTCATATTTTAGCAGTCGGTGCTTCTAGTCATATGCAATGTATAATCTGATTTATAACATATAATAAATTTACAACGATGTTTCAGCTTCATGCTTCAGCGGTCCGGTATCAATTTATAATGTATAACATAATATTTAACTTAAATCAATGATCTACAATAAATTCACAACGATTTTGTGATTTTTTTACAATAGACTCACAACGTGCAATTATCGAGCCAACAAGTTAACAAAGAAGCTTTCGAACACAGATCGAGTTTAAATATTTTTGTAAAAAAATAACATCAATAGCACTGAAATACAAGTGTATTAAAACATACACAAGTTTCATTGTGTCTATCTATTCTCTCCACTTTTTTGCATCCTTAAACCTCCCATGAACGCATAAAAGTTACAACTAATAAAAAGTTTGCCGATACTTTAAACTCTCCTTTACATGCCACTCTTTGCACATAATACTATCGTCCAATTATAACTAATAAAAAGTTCGCACAAAGTTGATACTTTGAACTCTCCCCCCTTATTTTTTTTTTTTTCCTTTTCTTTTTCATTTTTCCTTCCCACGTACAAATTTTACTTCAATATTTACAGAGCCTCAAAAATATCCAACAAATCGGAGCATTTTTATTCGCGAACGTCTCTCACGGGGTGGAATTCCTCTGATGCGTCTCGCGATTGCATACATAATAAAAATGTGGATGATATCTCGTACCTGATACCGCGGTTGGCGAGGTGGGGGACGTGGGGAGCGATCTAGGTAACATAAAATCGTCTGACGCCAAGCCTTGCACGCCATCCTCCAATGACACGCTCCTCTTGCGGAATAGTCCTCGTCGGATGAGATTCTCGTGAAACTCCTGCAACGACACGCGCGTCGTACGTGTGAGAAACAACGTAGCAAAATGGATTTTCAACCGAGCTCTTTTTTTTTTTGCTCTAGATTTCTCTTTTCCCTTCGTTACTCTTCACTCGTATAAGAAGAGAGAAAAGAATGGTTATCGATTTCGAGTTTCGAAGGTCAGTGAGATTTTCGAGGTTGATAACATTTTACAGCTCGAGGCGAAAAAAAAAAAAAAATGATCGACGAATTCTGAATTTATTATTGCTCGTCGGTCTGCAGAGAAAATTTAAGATTGCTTTGGGAAAAAATAACTCCGAAATTTATTGCTAACAGTGTCAGTATCACGCGTGATGATATTTAATCCCAAATGAATCTCGAATGAACCGAATGGATGTAACATTTTTTCCGGAATATTACGCTTCGCGTTAAAAAACGAATTTTTTATCATTTTATATGATGGAAATATAAGCGTGATATTTGACGATTTATTGAGAATACTATGTACGATAATGTATAATTTATTAGATCGTGATTTAAAGCAATGATTTATTTTAGTGTCACATAAATACTACAGTTTCCTTCACAGTTGTAAAAATTCTGGATTTTACGTAAAAAATAAGAGAAATAATCAAACTTTTAGAATTTACTTCCACGAAGTGAATATTAAAAAAAGAGAAAAAGAAAAATAGGAATTAACATAAATTGATCGAGAAGTTAAATATTGAGCACTCACTATGACCGCTGAGAAAGTGATCAGACCTTTTTATCCCCACTTCTCGCAAAGTAATTGTACACTTTCGAATAAAAAAAGTTGCCGCTTCGTTCAATTAAAATAACTTCCCCCGGAGTTTCTTCAAGCGTGATCGATTAAAATTCAAGTAGCTTGCGCAAAGTAGCGAATTCTTTAAGAACTTTTAATTAGTTCCGCGATTGTTCAACGAGGCGATGAAAAATATATACGAGAATCCACCGTCGAACATACTATCGAGAATTACAAGGATTGCACGAAGTTAACGGATTTTGCGTTTGCGCGATGAAAAAGAAAAAAAAAAAAAAAAAAAAAAGAAATGGTTACGCCTTAATTCGAACTGCAGCCGCAGTCAAGTGAAATTTGAAGAGTTTCAATTTATATACTTCGAAATAATTAACAAAGTTTCCCTAACGAAAGCGAACGATCGATCGACTTTTATTGACAAGAAAAGCGTGGCTAATTAATTTCATAAGGTAACAGCCCGATCACGAGTTTCTAATAAAAAGCTTTCTCAACGAAAGTCGGGCCATGGATGGTTTTTCAAAAGAGAAAAGAAAGAGGTAAACGAATTATTCGAACAGACAGAGTTAAAACGATCCGAGCGAGCAAACTCTTTTTTTTTTCTTCTTCTTCTTCTTCTTCTTTCCTCTTTCTTTTTAATTCAGGCAATTAAGGCGGAGATAAAGTTTCGAAAGTGCTTAAATTCTAAGGACGCATTGCGCGCACGGTGTTAACCTCGTGCCGCGATTCGGCTGCAGAAAAAAACTCGAACGCTCGCAGCATTTGAAATTTAATTCGATCTCAAGTGCGTCGAACTTTCGCCTCGTCGTAACTTCGATAATGTCTTCCTATCGGGAATCGAATATTTGTTCTCGTAACTGAAGTACCCACCTCATGCCGCTCCCCAGTCGAATTAATATGAAATTAAAATTTTCATCGCTTCCTGTCAGAAACCTTATTAGCTCTTCCCTTCGTGGAAATATTCTGATGACTCTCGGGCAAGATGCGATTGCTTCGATCACAATATAGACTATAACGTATATAGATTAAATTAATTTATTTGAATTTGATTTGATTATATCGAATCTATGGTGATGTTCGATGTCTAAATTTGAGCGTAAGAGTAACGCAATTTTTAAATCTAAATTTATCTTGAAATCGAATTAAACAAAGATTAAGCGAGTATAGATAGAAGAATTTTAAAATTTTAAGATTAAATAAATATTACAAAATACAAAATATATTAGTATTATGATAGTATTACGATAAAATATAAATATATATTTAGAATAATATATTATAAATGTTTATGTATATTATATATTTATGATAACAAATATTATATCATACAATATATAATACAAATATTATATCATACAATATATAATACAATATAATATTATATTATATTATAAATGCAGCAAGATTAGCAACAAGATTAAATAAATAATACAAAATTCTAAATATCTATGCAGGTATAAAATTTAGAACAATTTAATTGTGTTCTTCCTGATAAAAAAATTCAATCAAATCAAAAATTCTAAAATTAGATAGATTAACAGATAGGAAGAATCAAGTCTCAAAATGAAAGTAAGTGAAGATACTGGTTGCAAGATAATGATGGTATTACGTATGAATTCCGAGGAAGTCATTTGAAGAGTTTGATAGATAGAGATTGGAAGATTTCAACGTAGCAGGAGTATAGATTGCACTGAGTCAGCGATTTAAAATGCTTTTGTAGCAGCAATCTCGGCCTCCATAATGCGTTGCGCTTCCATGCAACAGTAGATAAAACCCATTGGAAAAATTACGTTCGATGCACGATCGTTGATAAAAGATTCCCCAAGATTTCCTAGTTTCCTAACACCAAGAGCTCTCTCAAAAATATCATAGTGATAGCATTGAACAATATTTACTGTTAAATGAATAACATATAGTAACAGGTACAAGAATAAAAAATAACGAAGAAAAAATACAATTGGTTGTAAAAATTGAGGACCTTCATTTTGAATGTTGAGCTATGTATCAAGAGAAATAGTCTATTTATTTAATTTCTAACCCTTCGTTGACAATCTAGGTCGTACATATTCTCCCTGTTCACTCGTGAAATTTTTACTCTTCCTGGGAAATCTTTTGATGATTTAGCTTAAGAATTGACTGTATAATATAATAAAAACTTCACTGAGTAATTCAAAGTATTTTTCAAAATTTTTTTAGAAGTCTGTGACAGTAGGGAGATCAAGAGAATGCAATAATATACTCCCTGAAATTAAAGAAAGGTTAATTCAATGAAATTATTTCATGAAACTATAATGAATTGAAATTTATACCATATTTGCAATATATATTAATCATAATTTATAATGATAATCAATTTAATTTCATCAATAAATTATAATTTTATAAAATTACAATTAGAACTGTTACATAATTTTGGCAAACAAATAAATTTTAATAAATAATCCCCAATATATCTGGCTGACGCGGAATGGAGAATCGATTTTACCGCAGTTGCCTAATTAAAATAAATAATTTTCACAAATATCTTCTTATCCGAGGAATTTCTTTCGTACATGTATATATTATGTCTTCTATACTGTATCCTTCGACCCAACAGCAATCTAATACAGGAAATGAAAGGATTGAACGATTGATACAAATGAATAGTATTTACCTCTTCGGGATGATCCTCTTGGGGCGAGGCGACCCTGAGCAAGGACAGGTCCTCGGGCGTCGAGGAGAATTGGACGGTTGCTCTGACGGTTCTCCCCCAGGGGTCCTGATGATTCCTCCTGCACGTGTGAGGGTAACTCGGCTCGCCGGCTTCGCCGATCAACTCGCGTCTCTCCACGCGAATTTCACCGTCTGACAGAGTCTTCTGCAACGGTAGGAACCTCCGCGTCGTCTGCGACATCCGGTTCAGAAGCGCGCGAGCGTCCGGCGACACGGGCGCTGGCTTGAAGTCTATGAGGATCTCTTGGTCATCCAAATCGACGGACCTTTGACGACCTGGGGACTGTAAAACGGCGCGTTCAATGTGAAACCTCGTGTTTGGATTACTCTTGTTACTAATACGTTACTAATACATTTTTTGCTTATTTATTTATTTTAACACAATACTAATATATTTTGTAATATATTATTGCTGAATTTATAATATAATATAATATTATTATATTAATATTATATATTGTATAATATAATATTTGTAACATTATCATAAATATATAATATATTGTTACAAATACATATTTATATTTTATTATAATACTATCATAATACTAATATATTTTGTAATATATTATATTATTGGTACGTTTATAATATAATATTAATATTAATATATAATAATATAATATAATAGCAATATAATATTAATATACAATATAATACAATATTATTATACTAATATTATATTCTATTATATATTGTAGAATATAATATTTATAATAATATTATAAATATATAATATACATAAATATTTATAATATATTGTTATAAATATATATTTATATTTTAATACCATCATAATACTATTATATTTTGTAATATATTATATTATTGCTAAGTTTATAATATAATATTAATATATGATATAATACAATATTATTATATTAATAATATATTCTATTATATATTGTATAACATAATATTTAGAATATCATTATATAATATTAATATATAATATAATACAATATTATTATATTAATATTATATTCCATTATATATTGTATAATATAATATTTATAATAGTATTATAAATATATAATATACATAAATATTTATAACATATTATTATGAATATACACTTATATTTTATATATTATTATAAATGTACATTTTATTTTAACTTTCCTATTATCATAAATATATATTTATAATATTATCATAATACTAATATATTTTGTAATATATTATTGCTACGTTTATATGATATTACTACGTTAATATGATATTTACATATAATATAATATAATATTATTATATTATTATTATATTCTACTATATATTGTATAATATAATATTTATAATATTATCATAAATATATAATATACACAAACATTTATAATATATTATTGTAAATATATATTTTATTTTAAATTATTATTGTTACAAATATATATTTATATTATATATATTACATTATATTTAAAATATGTATATAATGAAATAAAATTTCCAATTTCCCTTCAATTTGTCTTCATAAGACTACTCTCTATTCCGTCACTTACTAAATTATACCTTTCTCCTGCAATTTTTTTATAAAACATCCGCTATTGTTGTTAAAAGAATTACACGCCCCCGCTTCAGTAAGAAAAGAGCAAATCTCAAATATAAAAGTTCCTCTGCGTAAGGTATGTCAAAGCCAAAGCGCAATCTCGCATCAAACAGCCAGTAAAGCGTCCAGTCAAGCGTATTTCGAACGTGGTGACGCACAGCGTGTCGAAGATAATTAGATCGCGTATCTTCTTCCGGCGAGTCTGTCCATGCCAGTGGGTTAATTAAAATAAATCCACGCTCGCGGGAAAGTGGCAGAACGCGAAATAACTGGCGAACAGGGAGGAAGCGAAACACGTAACACGTCAGAAAATGACGAAATACCGATCGATACGTTAATATCCGTAACGGCGTTGCTCGTCCTTTAATTACACACACCGCCCACACAAGCTCTTGGCCCCAGCGTCTATTTTGTTAACCAGATAGCAATTCGATCGCGCAACCGGTATACAATCTACAAGCTACAAACAGTCCAAGTTTCATTCCTGCTCGACCTTCCTATTAATCGACACTGTTAATCGACTGTCCACAAGACCCGATGATTTATACGGGTTACGCCCTGCAAATAAATCGACTGATCTCGTACGGTTTCGTCGGGCGCGTTAACTGTGACGTTCGTCCATTCACTTGCGCTGGTTGGCAAAAGTTTGTGATTTCTGTTTGAATCTATTGGCGAGAACACGCGGCAAAGGGTTCTGAACCCTTTCGAGGCTCTCTGGGTCAATGAAAATGATGCAGAGGGGTTTCTAGGTAAACGGTCGAGTTAAACGACCGAACTTCCTGTGTACAGAAATCAGTGTCATAGAAATCATGTCTTTGAAATATTTCACAGCAGGCTAAAGATATACTGAAGGCAGGTCGAAACGAGCAATTTCTCGCAATTTTTCGGGGTAAATTTTATGGATCTACGCGCAACAATGATTCAAAATTGTAAAATGTACGATGAGTTTAGGAAAGTTGGTGACAAACTTCAAAAACACAAGCATGGATATTCATTAAGACAAGTTTTGCTTGTTTAAATAAATATGACACGATCTTAAAGTTTGGTAGCAATTTTTATAAACGTTCTACAGATAAAAAGCTTGTGTACATATTCCTACTTTTAACAACCTAATATAATAACAATGATATAATTTAAAACAGGGATTTTGACATCCCAGTGATCAAAATTATTTAATGACCATCTCTTGAAGTACTGTCTTTTTCAAAAATATTAATAGAAAATACTAATATCTGTTTTAATTAATAGTTAAAATTAATATTTATCCTAATGCTTATTGATATATTTAATAATAATATTAGAAACGTATTAAAAAAATTTTTCTAATAACAAAGTTTTAATATTCTTTAAATATTTTATTTAATATTTATATTATATTATATTGTATTATATTGAATTATATTGAATTATATTGAATTATATTGTATTATATTGTATTATATTGTATTATATTATATTATATTATATTATATTATATTATATTGTGTTATATAGTATTATATTGTATTATATTATATTATATTATATTATATTATATTATATTTTATTATATTGTATTGTATTGTATTATATTCTATTATATTATACTGTATTATATTATATTGTATATTATTATATTTTATTTAGTTTAACATTAGTAAAATATTTTCTTATTTCCCAACATAAAAATATAAGTACACATAGCGTTTCATACGTCTTCCTATTTTTTTAAAATTTGACTAAACACTTAATACTGCTAAAAATTATTGTGCAAATAAATTATATCGACTCCGTGTTTGAATACAAGACAATTGCGAAGGCGACGATTTCACAGTCATTCATCTTGCAAATAATTGCACAGAAATTTCGACAATCGGAAAATTTGTCCGAGATCAAATATCACTGCGTAATCACGTAAAACTTCATTGAGAAACGCGATTATACGTTTCGTTGTTCCGAGTGAGATACATAATTCCCCCGTAATTCAAGAGTTTGTGAAACTGCGGGCTGTCCCGGATAAATTCACCATCGAGTGCAATCGATAATTGTTAATAGGCGAACGAATATAATTTCGTTGAATTCCTAATGACGAATGGGTAATCGTGACGTGTAATTATGATTTACAAAATTAATTAATTAAATCATTCTGTATGAATTTTATTCGCTTGGTATTTTAATATTTATGTCCTGCTTTTCAGAGATCAACTTTTTTTATGGTTTAGATAATAGAATTTGTTCATGTACGAGTTGCACTATTCAAAATTGGAGAAGCTTTGTTCTATCATTTATGCATGAAACAATTTTCGTAATAATAATTATTATTATCGAACGAAAGAAATTATCAAGTAAGTTAATAATAAAAGTATCTCTATTTATTTGATAATTATTCACATAAGGACACTTCTCACCGATTTTATAATAATAATTTTCACAATGTTGATGAATGAAAATATCATATTTTCGTGTATAGCATATTTTAATATTATTAATATTATTAATAATATTATAACATTATATAAATATATTATATTAATAATATTATAATAATAATTTTCACAATGTTGATGAATGAAAATATCATATTTTCGTGTATAGCATATTTTAATATTATTAATATTATTAATAATATTATAACATTATATAAATATATTATATTAATAATATTATAATAATAATTTTCACAATGTTGATGAATGAAAATATCATATTTTCGTGTATAGCATATTTTAATATTATTAATATTATTAATAATATTATAATAGTATATAAATATATTATATTAATAATATTATAATATTATATAAATATATTATATTAATAATATTATATATTATATTAATAATATTATAGTAATAATTTTCACAATGTTGATGAATGAAAATACCATATTTTCGTGTATAGCATATTTTAATATTATTAATATTATTAATAATATTATTATATTATATAAATATATTATATTAATAATTATATAATATTATATTAATAATATTATATAAATATATTATTATTACTAATATTATTAATAATATTACATAGATAAACAAGAATCAACTGCAACAATCATTTGAATCGTCAAACTGACAATTTTCATAACCTTGGAAATCCGTTGGAAAAAGTACAGAAATTGAATCGTACAGAAAATCGCCACTTCGATGATTAAATACACAATATGTCAAGTAAAACGACTGAGCTTCATATGCATGAGCGTTGCAACAGGGTCAAGTAATGACACGATACAGCATCGATTCAACTCTCTGATAACTTTGGCTTAACCTTTGGCGTATTCGAATCGTATGTACACGATTTACACGAGGTGGGGTGAAATTCGACGGAAAACCTGAAGCAAAACGACAGATGATGCACGTTAATCGGCGCGCAACGAGGAGCCGTAGTCGGGTTGCGTAGGAGTCCGGCCGGAAAATCGAATCGGCGAGCGGTTTAATCGATAGCCAGGCTGGCAGCGGCGAGATTTCATACGTGAAATTGAATCGGATGGAACGCTGGGGCGCGCGGTGGAGACGTTTGATCCGACGCGGAACACCGCCGCCGAGTAATTCGGCAGATTTTCGTACCGATTCCTTAACCACCGTTTCGAAATCGGAATCCGTGAATAACCTCGCTGGCTGTGAATCCGAGAGTGGCGTCAAGTAGCAGCGTACAGCGATTCGAGCATCGCGAGCCCGAATCTGAGCCCATTCAACTGGCTCTGCTGCTCTCCAAGTAGCAGAATCAATGCGATTCGAATCGAATAGAGA